GTTATTTCCGCACATAATTGCAGAATTGTACGAATTTTACAGATGATCCACAGGAATTTTGATATGTCAATTGTTTTTGGAGAAACAATAAGCTACGCCTCAAAGCGAGTCAATGGAACCAAATTCAGTGAATTTGGCAAATGCACCGCAGAATTCTGGATATGTAATCTATTCCCACAACTATCAAATCAATCTAAAATCGACAATTAATATACTTTAGTACAGATACTGCGCTTGTAGTTCTGCGTATAAGCGATAGTAGCAAGAATGATGTATAACCTGGTTATTTTATTTGTGTACCCTTGATTATTATATTTAATTTAGATGATAGAAAACATCGTGTCACAGATGATCGTTACCTTGACTGTATCAATTAACGAAGCATAAATTTTTCTACAAAACAATCGTTATAATTATGTATTTTTTCTTATATATCAATCAACAATACGTAGTTAAAAAAATTATTCACGAGCTTACTAATATAATAAGATTAATTTAAAATGAATCGAAATATAGCATTAATACGTAATCCTAAATTTCCCATTTTAATTACTATTTTTATTTTACTTACTTTCATTTATATCGGATTTCTTGATAACTCCGTTTCGACTAATTACATTCCAATAGAATTTGGTGAAATTAATGAAACTTACGTAACCGAACCAAAGTTCGGCACTATGAATTATAGCGAATATATTCCGGGTCACTTACCTTTAATTATTTCAGTTCCTCATGGTGGTCGATTATTTCCTCCTGAAATACCTGATAGAAAAAAAAACCATCCAAGTGTTGTAAAATCTAATGATATTAATACTCAAGAAATTGGTAGAGAGCTTGCTGATAAAATGAAATTATATTTTAAAGGAATGAGTCCTTATTTGGTCATTAATCATCTTGGGAGAAGTAAAATTGATGTTAATAGACCGATAAAAGAAGGTGTCGAAGGGAAAGATGCATTGGTTGCTTGGAATAATTATCATAATTTTATGCAAACCGCTATTAAAGATGTTGAAATAAATTTTGGTCATGGACTTTTAATCGATATTCATGGTATGTTTATCTTTTATATTGTATTACCATATTAAAGAATTAATCAAATTTATTTATTTTATATATATTTTTAATAGGTCATGGTCATCCTGAACAATTTGTTGAGATAGGTTATGTCCTTTCGGCTGAAACTCTTTCACTTTCAACCTCACAAATCAATAGACCTGAGATTTATTCTGGATCAAGTATTCGTGCTCTATATACTAGAAAATCGAGTGACATCCAATTTTCTGACTTACTTTACGGTAAAACTACTTCACTCGGTGGTCGTTTACAATCCCATGGTTATGAGACTGTTCCATCACATATTCATCAACACCCACTTAACGATGAAAAATATTTTCATGGTGGTTATTGTGTACAAAAATATGGTTCACGACATGGTGAACATGTTATTGATGCTATACAAATTGAGTATGTTCTTGTTTTCTTATATTTTTTTTTTTCCTTTTAAAGAGTAAGCGAATAACCTCTATTATTATTTTAGATTACCAAGAACTTTACGAGCTGGGAATAAGGAAAAACGAAGCAGTTTTATATTAGCATTATCAGAAAGCATTGCTTGGTTTTTAAGAGAGTATTACGGATAATTAGATAATGTATCCTAAATTTTTTAATAATTGATGACATGATAGGCATAATATATATGGTTATGACTGTTACGAGTTTAAATCTTATTACTCTGATATAATCATGTAAATGTGGTTATTTCTTGGTTTTATTTTAATCATTGTAATTTAATAATCAAATTTATTTAGTATAGATTTATAGAGGGCGAAAAAACCGAGACTTTAAGGCAATGATATATATTATCTAATATCTATTTACTAAAAAACTATACCCACTTTCTTACTTAAAACCAATCAAATTGTATAATTCCGTTACACGAAATAAAAATGTTAAAATATCAAAATAAAGATTTTGATTTGTTAATATTTTTTTGTATATTTTAATATTTTAGCTAATTTTTTGTTTTTAAAAATATTAGCTAATATTTTTAGTACTTTAATAATAATTTTTTTAATTGCTATTTAGTATTAATTACTTAATTGATAAAAAAAAGCTACAGTCGACTCTGGATATACTGAATCTGCCTATACCGAAATCGGGATATAGCGAACCAGATCAGGCAGAACGGATTTTTTATAATAATTTAAGCTGACTATACCGAACTTAAATAGTAAATTTTTATATACCGTATCCGAACTCTTTTTTATCATCCCAGGGCTATATATATGTATATATAATTCGATATAACGAACTATCATGAACATACAAATCTGCAAAGTCCTGAGATCCGAAATACTCTGAGAAGAAAATGAATGAACATAAGAACAAGGCAAAATTTTTTGGCAAACCTCCGATATTTTCCGAAGCAGACCCGGTTATGAGCATAATTTTATTGGTTAGCTCTATATACTGAACTGTTCGGTATAGAAAGAGTATTACTCTATATCGAACAAAATCCTCCAGACATGCAGTTCGGTACATTCAGAGTCGACTGTATATATTTTTATAGTTTACTTTTTAAAATTGGTATATGGGGTGAAGTTAATAGAAAAGGTACAAATTTTTTCTAAGTAAAAGTTTTCTTGACTTTAAGCTTAAAAATCTTAGCAATTATCGTATTAAATTTATTTCAAAATTAAAATAAAATAAAAAAATTTATCAAATTTGATTAATTAATTGTTGAGATATTTTAATTTAAAAATTAAAAAAATTATATTAAAAATAATTTGTTTTTTTTCTATTGACTCCACTCCATATACTGTACTGTATATAATAACAGATTTTGTTATCGTATTAAATTTATAATTTTTTTTATTTTAATTCTATATAATTTCAAAATTAAAATAAAAAAAAAATTTAGCAAATTTAATTAATTAATTGTTAAGATATTTTAATTTAAAAATTAAAAAAATTGTACTAAAAATGATTTGTCTTTTTTCTATTAACTCCACTTCATATACTGTATTGTATATAATAACAGATTTTGTATTTTTTTTTTTTTTTTTATAACTTAAGATATTCTAATACTTTATTAATTTGTGATTCATGAGTAAAAAAAAAAAAGAAGTTGATTAATAATTAGTAAAGTGCAACTTATATCAAAACAATTAATATTTATAATTTGAAGCCAAAATTAAAATTTCTTAATTTTTATCAAGTTAATATTTTTTGTGTTTTTATAAAAATTGTAAAGGCAACTTTTCTCTTATAATAGTAGTAAATTATTAAAATTTATCTAATATATTGTGAGATATTGTTATTTTTGCTTTTATGATCATATAAATTTCTTTATAGATTTGCAAAGAGAATTTTATATAATTGTGAAGACAAAAATAATAATATTTTGTAATTAATTGAATTAATTTTGATAAATTTACTGCCATTAAAAAAAAAAAATTGCCTTTTTAATTTTTATAAAAACACAAAAGATATTAATTTGACAGAAATTGAGAAATTTTAATTTTGGTTTCAAATTATAAATATTAATTGTTTTTTTTTTTTTTTTTCAGTATTAAGATAACCTCTTTAGCTATAGAACTATTTATTAGTAATCATTTGCTATTATAGTTACAATAAAGATACAACTAGCCACATGTGCACCTTTTGAGTGCCTATTTAAGTAGTCTGCCTACAGGTTTTACACTAGATGCAGTATCTATAACCCAACTAGGAAGTTGCTTATTTAAACCTTCTGATCCTAACCATTTTTATAGCATATTATACTAACCTAGAAACTACCATCTGGCCTGTTTCTCTAGATTGCGTACTCTGTTTTAGAACTTCCATGACTTATTGTGGGTTTGCATTGACTAATTACCAGCTTGCATTTCTCTATTAAGCAGATGCATAGCTATCTACAGGGTAAACCTACCAGAGCTTTCTCTATCACATTTGGGCCAACCTGGTTTTGTGCAGTTGTCGAGGCTCCTACTTGTAGTTGAGATGTTATCCATTTAACTGCTTTTATAAGGTTCACATCCCAATCCTAGTACCCATATTCAGACCTTTTCTTTTTTTTGTTATTTCCTTATTAGTCCATCCCTTACTTCTAACTAGTAACCCAAAAGATTTAACCTTGGTATGGCTTTAGGTGCCGGTGCTCTTATCTTATCTTGATATATGATTTTATAGTATATATCCTTTTCCTTCTAATTTAGTAGGCTGGTCCTTCGGACACGTCTAGTATTTTTCTGTATAACTAGTTTTTTTGCCAAACTTTCATAATCCCTAGTCTTGGTAGGTAGGGCCCCACCGCTGGTTTCTCATGCTAGCTAGCCAGGATTGGTGTACTTCATAACAGCCTTGCAGATTTTTAACTTTCCTAAATTGGCGGTCAGGTTGGTAAATTCTCCTACTAAAGGATCTTGTTGTCATTTGGTTCTCCAATCTCGGTTCTAATTTACAAATTTAGGTCTTTCTTGTAGTATCGTCGAAGATTGTAGTTACTTCTTACTCGGGTCTTCCCAAACATAAAGCTATTACCTGGGTTGGCTGACTCATACAGGTTACCCAACCCAAAGGGTCATGGGTTGAAAATTGCTTTGACCCAGATCAAATGGGTCAAAATTCAAAACAGGCAAAAACACAATTTACTTATGAATAATAGCTGCTTGATATAAGTATCAAGGTAGCTTTTGTCTCGAATTATGTGCGATCACATGTTCGATTGATTGATGTAAATATGAGGTAATCAGGTAATTAATAATATGATTATTAATGAGAGAGGTAATTGATAATTGATTATTTATAAAATACCCATATGTTCTTTATAGTAATCCAAAACAAAACGATATAAAAACAGATATATGCATTATTATGCATATGCAATAATATTACTGAAATATATTGAACACATTTTTATTTGGATACCAATATTATCTTAGAAATGCTATCACAATTTATTTAACTATAAGTATTTAATTATTCTTTTAAAAAATAATATGTGTGCTCACAATGTTCAGGTGCTCACAATATTCAAGCGCACACAATGTTTAGGCGCTCATAATGTGCAAGTTAATAATTATATACATGATTCTAATGCTGATTTAAATCTTCAAGTAGTTTTTTGTATCTGCGCATCATACAGTAAGTTTTTTTATATTCTTAATACAAAAAAATTTAATGATATATTTAAATGTATTTTATTAATTTTTTTTTTTTTTATGTTATACAATATTTAATGATTTATCTAACCCATAAGTGCTTCATAATTTGATTTTTTAGTGTCTGTTCATCACTTAACTCCAGAACTATTTGTCTAATTCAATAACTGTGTTATATTACTAAATTCAATTATTCTAAAGTATTAAATATCAAACTTTTATTATCTAGTTAAATATATGTGAAATAGGCCAAAGCTTTAAAGCCGATTTGAGAAAGAGAATCAATTCAACAAATTGAGGATTAAGGCTTGTTTGTTTTTTAGTAATAGTAAGACTTGCAGATGAAAAAAGGCATTCAGATAGTACTGATGTGGCTGAAATGGAGAGATACTTGCAAGCAAGTTTTGCAAGTATAGGATAATTAGATTTTCTTGATGCCTACCATTGAAGTATGTTTGTTTCACTTGGAACTCTTTGTAGTAATAAATATGAATTAAATTCATAATTAGTAATATTATTATTATTTTGATTTAAATATTCTTGAAAACTGTCAACCGGGTTAGAAAAAATATCTTCATCATTAATTATATTACTAGATGCTATATTGGATAATTTATCCAGCTCATAATAATTAGTAGCTAATTCAAGATATTCAGTACACACTTTTGAAATAGTTTGATTCTTTTTATTCCCTGTAAATATTTGCATATCCTTGGTTTGTGGATCAAAAAAAGCAGCAAATCGAATAAGTTTTGTTGGTTTTAAAAATCATTTCTGAATTGATTCATAAAGAAGACTTTCAAATTTTCAAATATCAACATTATTTATTATTGTATAGTCGAGCTTTATTTTAATAAAATTAATTGCAAACCATGCTTGAGAAAGTGTTGGATATTGCGAACCAGATAATTTTTTTGAAACAACCTTATAAGGATACAATAATTTAACTAACTTAGTTATTTTTTCCCATTCATCAGATGATAGTTCTTTTTCTTCATAGCTTCTTAGTAAACTATTGTTATTAACTTCAACTAAAAATGACTTATATCTATATATTGCAGGTTTAAGAATTGTTAATCATTTAATAAATAAAATATTGAATTCCACCTTGTCAAAACATTATGAACTACAAAAAGAAAATTATTTCAGTCATCCATCTCTATTTGTGCTTCTAAAAGAAATTGTTTTTGCTTTGGGCTTCCACTAAAATGTGATACAATATCTTTACATTTTTTTATTAAGTTAGTAATTTCTAAATACTCTTTTAATATATCATTAATCACAAGTTGTAATGTATGACCAAAACAATGAATTTTAAAAATACCATATTTTTTTTCTAATTTTTCTAAGCATAACTTAATATTCAACCTATTATCAATGGTACTACTAATAGTTATATACTTAAACTTAAAACTATTTAAAATTTTAACAATTTTATTTAAAAGACATTCAGAGATATGGGGATATGGAAGATATGAAATATTACCAATAATTTTTTTTACTTCAAAATTTTCATTAATCCAATAAAAAGTAAGTCCAATATATAGATTGCCATTATTTGATATCTACATATCAGTGGTAAATGAAATATAACTAATTTCAGCACTATTAAGTGCATATTCACGAAAACTTTGTAATATTTTATCCTCAGAATTTATAAGTATATCTTTTAACCAATCTTTACTAAGTATACTGGCTTGAATATCAAGTCCTTCAATTATTCTTTTAAATGCCTATGATTAAGTAATTGAAAATGGTTGAAGTTCTTTGACAATATAAGCAGCTATATTATTGTCAAGATTTTTTTGCTTGGGATTATTTGCTGCATATTTTTTTATTTTACTACAGTCAGACCTCTCTAAGTGCACGCTCTTGGGACCACACTTTAATAACGTGCATATAGAGAATAATAAGAAAAAGTGTATTTATAGAGGTCAAGTATATGTTTGGGCAGCACTTGAGCATGCATTTAGAGAGGGTATGCACTTATAGAGGGTGCATTTAGAGAGGTCTGACTGTAACTATCTTGCACCAATTGTAGATGAGCTAATTGAATTTTCCTCTGGTATAAAATTACCAGCAACTTTTGAATATAAAGAAGGACGCAAGATATATGTAGCATTAATATTATCAGCTAATGATGTTCCTGCTGCAAGAAAGATTTGCGGTCATGCAAGTCATGCAGTAAAATGTCATCGTTGCCCAAAACATGCTAAATATGATCATGCAACCAAAAGAAATCATTATGGTCAGTATTGTCCATGGACATGGACATGGACATGGACGGTCCATGGACATGGACTGTCCATGTCCATAGACAAATGAAAGGTATATTCATGTCCATGGACATATATATATATGTACTTCATAGTCTATACTATAATTACCTGAATCGGAAGTGCGCCAGAACATAAATAATCAATTAAAGCATTCCTGAAACTGATTAACTTAACTAAAACCAAGACGATCTAAAAAACTTTTTGTTTTGAGAAAAATTGATATTTTCGCGGTTATGATAGAATACGTTACATATATCAAATTTATTGATTTGCTAAAAAATAAAACAAATTTGTATTTCAAGTCGTACGCATAAAAAAAATATTAAACCTAGTAAAGTATGCGACGCAGAAAGTTCTACAGTACGTACAAAAATCATTGTGTTTGATCAATTTAAAAGAATAAATTTTTCCAAAAAAATCGAATAATATATATTTTTTATAAAAATTTCTATTTATATACTGTATTGAATAAATTTAAACTTATTTAAAATGTTTTTGTTACTAAATTGCAAAATTGTTTTTAAAGTTCTACAGCGAATAATATAATACCGGTAATTTAGCTAGCAATAATGTTATTAAATAAAAAAGAATGTCACCAACCATGCTAACAAGCTATTTCAATTAATTGTATTGGGGTAACTTCTCTAAATACATAGCATATGAAAAACTTTTCTAAACGCACTAATCCAACTTATATGATAACTTATAGACTTTTACTCCCTAAATATAACACTTCTCTAAATGCAATATTGATTAATTTTTTCATAACGACTACTCGGCTATGCATTTAGAAAAGTTAACTGTATTAAAAAAAAATACTTTTTAGTTCTAATTCTTTGAAAAGTGTGGCCAATTCCCATTTCGCATTGTAGTCAACTGCAGGATGAGTAATATTATCCAGAGAAAGTTCATCATTATCTTCCCCTTCTATATCTTCATCTTCAAATCATTGTTTCTCTTCTTCTAACATGTCTACCCATTCTTGTAGATAATTATCAAACTCTTCTTCGATGTCTATATATTCCTTGTCTGATTCTTCATCTGAAGGTTCAATTATTTCTCTATTTTCTGAAGACTCACCAATTTCTGTATTTTCTGAAGATTCTACTATTTCTCTACTTCCTGAAAATTTATCTATATTTTCTGAAGATTCAATTATATCATTAGCATTATTGTTAGAGCTTAAAATATTTACACTATTCGGATTAGACATTTCTATATTAGCATTAATTTGCTCTACAGAATCTATTTCCATATTCATGTCATTATCATATATATGTATTAAATCTGATCGAAGCCGGTGACTATATGTAATATCCGCACGTAACTTGCTCATTAGTAAGACTTTGGTGGGCTAAGATTAATTTAGTAAGATCTTAATTTTAAAAGCATATATGTAATTTAATTATAGTTATATATAATTAGACATACCACTAATCGGTTACGCCGATTTGTATGTAGAAATCCTATACAGCTCCAAAGGCGTTCTACAGCTGCAGCATTTACACATATTCCAAAAATCCGGGCTGCAACTAAACCTAATTCTTCCGTTGCTGACTTTGTATAGTTCCAGTATTGACAAATATCACCCGAAAAATGATTCCATGTAACTGCATCAAAAGGATACTTTTCTGATCGAAAATCATCAAATTCTCTTAAAATTCGTTTTGGATCTTTTTCAAACCATGCACGATAATAATAAATTAGCCAAGGACCAAAATTAGCATAATTAATATTAATACTAAATAGCTCTAAACAGTAATTGGGGTGTAAAAGGCAGAATAAAATTAATAAAGGTTGTTCCCAATCACGGCATCGGCGTTCCAAACATAGCATAAGTCAAGCACTAAGATGTAAGTCATCATCATAATTATTCCAAAATTGAATAAAATAACCTAAACTTAAAATAACCTGGTATAAGTGAGCCTTATCAGATTGTAACTTATTTAAAACAATATAATATGGTCGAAGAATATTAAGCACACGATGAATATTAGTCCAGAAATTTGCTGAACTAATTATTTCATATATTTCA